GGAATGTTTCGCCTTCTCACTTTAGCTCACCTTCAAACGGATGTTCTTAGGCTACCCAGAGGATACTTGGTCAAGGACCGGAAGTCGTAAGCTGCTTGAGTCATATGTAACAGAATCGTTTCTGGCCACTCCCAAGTGAATGGCGATCAGAAAACTTTCCTCACTTGCGTGAACTTCTACACATGACTCCATCCGTCTAAAAATATTACAATTTTTTTTTTGTTGATATACTTGCACATATTTTAATTAATAAACGCAAAGGAGGCGGCAGACTTCAAGCGACAACTGTCAAAAATAGCAAAAATCGGCCATTTTTGAGCAGTATTGCCTACTCAAATTTGGTAAATTCAGCTAAATACCCGAAATTCGTGCTTGGATTAAAATGGGTCAAATGCGCAAGTTAATTTAAATTAAGCCCGCTAATGCAACTTAGCGCTGTCGTCTGTCAAGGCTATTAGATTATGGGCGAAGGACGCAAATGCATTCGTAACAAACCAAACGTGGTATTTAGAATAAAAATATGGCGGCTTAACTGAAGAGTTAATAAAAAGGTCTATTATAATTTGAAGCATTGCACAGAGCAGTGCAATATCTAAACGGTAACGATGAAGTATATATATTTCAAACTGTTCTTTCTTAAAAAATAATAAAAGTGCTAAATATTGGGAATTGGTAAATAGAACTGCAACCAAATGCACAGTGCAATGAATTAAAACTGGCTCAGTAGTCATTCGATTAATAGTATACCACGGGCATCCCAAAAGACTGATGTCATAACCTTGACAGCCGATTTTTCGTCTTGCCACGCAAGAGAATCGTTTCATAATATGCAGTCCACTAGGTGGACTGGCGACTCGACTCGATTGATTTCATAGGTGCACAGCCCAAATTCAACAGTATTTCCCCCCAAAAACCAATGCTTTCTTAACGCACGAAATGCTTTTTGATACATTTTTTTTTGTAAATTAACACAAGGTGCTTCACCAAAAATGTGATATCTCCTTAACTAGTAGTGATATCTAAATAATAGAAGTCATATAGATGATATTAGTTGTACTACCTATGTATCATCCACAGTAAAACGTGGACGGGTGCTCTAGTTCGTTATAATAATATACTTAAATATTTATACAATCGTGTATTGTCAGATACGCACATTGCTTCAAAGTCCACATTGGCATATATCTCGCAACACCCCTTGGATTTTGGCAAACAAAAACAAGCAGGATTGTGTAAAACATATTAAAGCGCAATACTTATGTACATACATGCATATGTACAAAATACTGTGATCTCTATAACGAGCTCTCATTTGCACATAATAAATATATAAAACAAAACCTTAAAGGTATACCCTATAAGACGTACGGACTCAAAATACAACACATATAGTATATATACAAACATTTTTTGCGGTTAATAAAAAATAATTTAACAAAATTAAAGCAAAAGTAAATTGAATACTCGGAAAAACAACTCTAATTTAACCTAAAATAGTTCTCGTCCAACCATACATATACGAAATCTATCTTGGAATTCAACAAGTAATTTCAGTATATTAAAAGAAAATACTGTTTTAGACTGACTGAGTAGACTTCTACTAATGAAGTTTTTACTGAATCATTTTTGTTTCATTCATTACACCTTTTAAATGAGCTCAGATTCAACAGAACTTAAGCCAACTCAGTTCTAAAGATTCTAAAAATGATTTCTGACGAAAAAAGCCTGACGAAAAAAGTAGAAAGGTGCTACGAAACAAAAAAGGGGAAAGACATAATGTGCAAAAAATTCATTGCTGAGAGTAATAGTCTAACAAGACACTCATTTCATTCTTGCCTAATTAGGACAACTCTGAATCGGCATTAGAAATGAAAAGCTTCTTATGACGCAGTAGTATAATCTGATGGCTCAGATCTACCAGAAAATTTTAAGTCCTCGTCTTACGCCAAATATCAAAACTGCTTATATAAGTTTGAAGACACAAAAACAATGGAACTTGAGCAGTTAAAATCAATTAAAAAAAAAGGTGATATACTCGTATTTCTCACGTTAAACAAATATATATTATACATATATCCAAATCCAAACATTGTTGATATTTTCCCTTTTCATTTCTAATGCCGATTCAGAGCTTTTGTGTCTCCAAACTTATATATAAACTATATATATACATATATATATATATATTTTTTTCTATTTTTTTCAGCACTTGGAAAAATATAAAAAAAATGGATAAAAACTCCATTTAATTACCTGTTCTAATGTTCATGAACTTCAAAACTAACGTTTTCGGGAAAATCGAATAGAAGTTTTTAATACATCAATTCAGGTATCACGGCCTGTCATTTAAACGTTGCAACTCCGTTAGTTTGACTATAATTGACTCAAAATTTGTACACAATATTCTCGACATATTGGTCGTTTAAAAAAAAAAATATTTTAAAAGTTTATGCCTTCTATAAGGTAAAATAAATTGCTAAAATAAATGCACCTGTGAAGGGTATATTAGCTTCGGTGCAGCAGTATTTAACGTTTTTTCTTCCTTTTTTTTATATTTATGTCATTTATATTTTGTTGAATGGATTTTTGTATGTATGTATATTTTGATTTCACCACTGCACTGTTTTTCAGTTATGTTAGTAGTTATTTGACCACAGAAATTTTTGTTTTTGTTTTGTTAAAAATCCATAGTATCTGTCACTATTTCTCGAAGGAACATATGTTTAGTCACTTTTATTCCACAATTAGCTCCTCACTCTTTTATTTTATCTTTTAACACTCGATTTTCAGGTTCCTTAGCATCCTTTTTTTTATTTTAACTTTTGCAAATTTTCAATTTTTTTCCAAGACAAATTTTAAAAAGAAACGTTTACTTTTATTTTAGATAAATGCAATCTAATTTTGTTTCGTTTAAATATACTTTAATTTTAGTACTTTTACACTATTTTCGCCACTCGCTTCACTACTGCGGACCGCCGAAGAATGTTGTCGTCGCAACGAACGTTCTTGTGAACCCTTTAAGGTCTGCTGGGTGGTGAATACGCGTAACTGTATGAAGTTGTCATGTGTGCTGTCTTCGTGTGTGGTGTCTTCATGTGCGGATCGTGTTGGTGTGGTGTGTTATCATCCAGTCACGTGTGTTGAGGGGGGAGTTAACGCTCCCCCGTGACTAGACGACATTATCAAATCTAAGAATTTTGAATCTCTTAATTTTAAATATGACATGAATGAATGAAATCAGAGAAATAATAAGGTAGGAAAGAATTAACGTAAAAATATCATATCTTATTGATGTTTCTGAATTTCAAATTGCACAAAAAAATAATCGAACAATAGTTTCTAAATCAATACACGTTTTAACAAAACAAAGAAAAATACTAATCGAAAATAAAAACAATTAATTGTGAAAATAAATTTTATTCAGTCCAATTTTGTAAAAAAGGAGTTAAATAATGAATTTTGTATAATAAAAAGACATAATAAGTACTATATCAGATATGTTAAATAATAAACATGGTAATTGTACAAAAATTACTTAAGCAAATAAAGTATAAAAAATTGTTAAAGATAGTGCTATAATAATTTCGGGAAAACATAATGTTAATAATCATACAACAGACAGAGTACATTTGATAACTTTTGAAGATAATATATATACATACTTACATGTTTTTGTATGAATGTTTTTTGTACTAATTCAATTAAAACTTCGGTTTATTAATTCCTATTCAGTACAAAATTGTAAAAGCTGCCTAAGTATGAAATTAGTAGCGACCAAAAATATATACTTTTTAAATCATTTTATGCTTTAAGAGATTTGTTTGAAAACTCCCCAAGAATTTCTTCCGAATGGATTGAATAGTACCAAAATGAGAAACATACACACAAATTTGCTAAGGTTATTAGTTATTAGGAAAGTAAAAAAATGCTGAGGTCAGTGGCGTAGCTAGGTAACCATGGGCCATAGTGCAACTTAAAAATCATTTCAGAATATTTTTTTTTTTTTTAATTCGTCACACAAAATAAAATAAAATAAAAAAAAAAAAAAAATATTCAGATATAAAGTCAAAATTCTTGTATATAAAAATTAATCGCAAAATGTGTTGCTAAGCGCATAACTCAACAACGCCTGGAAAAATTTGGCCAATTTGGCCACTTCTATTTTCTAAATGTTTGCTGACGTTCAAAGATGGTTTTCATAGAAAAATTCGAAGAGTTACCGGAAAACCCCTAAGAACAGCCCTTTTCTTTCCCCCATCCAAACGAATAAATGTTTGTTGGTTAGTAACGGTAATGCTCGAGAACGGCTAAACCAATCTTGATGAAGTTTGCAGAGTTTATTCGCTGTGGATCGGGGAAGGTTTAGAAATAAAAAAACTGTGTGCTCTTCGTGAGGAAATTTCGGAAATTCGGATAATTCCAAAAAGCAATTGATTTCATAATTTTTTTTCAATTCTTTTGCTTGGTTTTTCGAACATTTGAATAGTTCAAATTTTTCATTTGCTTTCATTATTCCTGCTAATAAAAAAATTATTGAAATTTATTCAGTGAAAAAGTTATGTGTATTTCACACAAAGTGATCAATGACAGATTGAAATTTGTTACGATGACACGAAGAGGTCGCGCTAATATTGGCAGCTCAAAGCACATGAACGAGTATTCGCAGAATGCGATGAAATACGTGCTGAATTATGGATCGCGGTTAGTTATCAAGCGATCGTCACGATGTCAGCGATCGTGTACGACTTTTCAAACAACAGTTACAATGTTTGATGGACTTTATCTTGAAGCATCGTATATGTGGCACTGTTAGATGCTAGATGTACTCTGTTGAGTGGCAAAAAAGAGGTTTGCCGCATGCACACATTCTTCTTTCGATGATGGACGGTGGGTACACCAGATTAAATTGATGAAATCATTCAATTATGCGGAAATTTCTGATGCAGAGGAAGATACAATATTATATGAAGTGATGAAAAGCAAAGGTTCATGGACTTTGCGGACACCACAATCCCACTTCGGTTTTTATGTCTGACAATAAATGCACGAAACACTATCCTTTCTTTCTTTCTTTCCTAAATGCTAACTAATCTACTCTATCGGCATAGCTCACCAGACGACAATGGCAGAGCATTCAGCACTCAATTTAGAAGAGTGAATATCGTTAGTGAGAACAGCTGGATCGTACTATATTCACCATTATTGTCTAATTCAAACATCAATGTTGAGTATTTCAGTTTGGTGTCAAAGGAAGCAAAATGGCGGTTATTGGTCTTAAACGATACGGTCGATACGTGAACTACAATAAAGCGTTTTGTAGGCATTGCTGTTAAATTTGGATTACTATTAGAAATCAATCAGAAAAATCAGACAATGATTGCCGCCTTGAACTGTTGACGATCCCGGCAAATGAAAATAGTCGTTCAACTGGAGCTGAAGACGTTAAGGGCATGTTAAAAAAAATAAATGCCTCTCTTAATAAATCATATTTTTGGTAAATCTCGTCAGCACTTGCATTGTCATTTAAATAGCTGAAGAACTGCCGTTTTATTACGGATCGTTGGTCAACTTTAATCTGTTCTTGTGGAGAAGAACTTACCTCAATTTCATCATCTGCAAAGTTAAATCTTTAAAATGAAAAACAAAATAAATGTACGCATAAGCTCACCATCATCACTGAAATCAAAATAATCGGGCATAGTCGACACATTATTAATTTTCCTTTCAAAATTAAATGTTTTACAATTTTTGGCGTAAAATCTGTAAAGTGTTTCTAAAACTCTACTGGTTATATTTTCGACAGTTAATTCTGGCAATTCCGGATTTAATCTCAGCAACACCTTGACCCATTTCATTTTGATGAGTTAGCACTGTTGCTGCAATTGCAATATTTGCCTCAGGCTTCAACATGAAATATGATTGGAACTTTCTCTTAACCTCTGTTACTTTTTTAAAATAAAAGATGATAACTGTTGAATTCCTGGGACCTGCACAGCTTATACAGCCTATTGCTCAGTGTGGCAAAATTCTAATGAGCACTTATGCTAGCAAAATATGTTACATACATACATATGTGCAATATCTCTAGCTTATAAGGAAAAGCCAAGCCGAAAGCTAATACGTAAGCATGCATAAGTTAAGTGTTAGTTTGTAGGTTTGTTTGTAAAATTGAACTAATGTTACTAAATTGGAGTTATTGAAATTCGATATTTAAGTGAGTACTATTTTTGGAATTGTCAATCGATGGCAAACAAAATCTCACCGACCGTACTTTCGAAATGTTGGCATTAAAGAAAGCAAATAAAAAATAAATTATGTTTGCCGAATTTTAGTGCGGCATAATTAGAAGTCTCTACTCAAATATATGGTTTATTTTGAATACATTTCCTCATACTGCTTCAGCTTATACATATACATACGTAGTATTATTTTTATTCTTTAAGAAACAGTGTTATGTTAYTRDAAAATKTTCATTATAACTAAAGGTGTTCACTATTACTAAACCTTTAATGGTAGTGCAATTTGTTTTTCAATATGAATAAAGGTTTAGTGATAATGACATTTTTCCCACTATCACTAAATTCTCAGTGATAATGGATTTTGCTGTTTAACTACCACTGAAGAAATAGAAACCTTATTGTAGGTACTCTTTTTTTAGTGTACTATGCCCAACCCTGATAACAAGTATGTAAAGTGTTAGGTAACACTCACAAAAAAATATACGCAGAGTAATATTTACTTTATACAAAATACAGAATCAAGAAGAATGCAACAGGTTATCAATTATCAAATCGATGAACACCAGTAGTAACATGAAACACTAGTGCCATAATTTCGCACAAGAAAAAAAAAATATATTAATCAAAAACAATCAAAAGTAATCTTCGAAAGTAGTCAAATTATTTTTCGATTACTTTTTATTATTTTTGATTATTTTTTCGAAATTTTTATTAATATTGACTATTTTCCGATTATCTGTAATCGTAATCAATTAGTAATCGTCCGAATCTGAAAATAATCGTAATATAATCATTATTCACCTTTCAAAAAAAAAATCTAATTACTAATTATTATGATTAGTAATCATTACTTAACAGCTTTGTTTGTAGGATATTTACGTTAGCAATTCATGAATTTTTTTCCTACTGTTGTGTGGCTCGCAGTTAATTTGGAGAATGGTCAAAGAGTGTATTTCAACCCAGAGAATACAGTACATCCAGCGGAAATAGCGCCAGCAACAATATTAACATTTAGAGTTTTTGCTTAACTTTCGTCAGTGATCCGTTTGTGAGAACATTGCTCTATATGGAAATGCCTTGATATTATACATAGAATGCATTGTTACGTTAAAGTTACGCAGAAAGCAAGGCCAAACAGTAGATGGACATCCAGGTGTGTTATCAACTAATGCATTAGGACGAATTTACACCCAAAAACGACGATTGTTTCTACCTTCGGTTGCTATTGATTACTGTACGTGGTTCAACTTCATTTAAGTCATTGTGTACTGTTAATGGTACGGTGTGTGCAAGTTTTGGAGAACTAAGCCATCAATTACAATTGCTGGAACATGTTAATTACTGGAATGCAAATGAAGTTCGCACACTTTTCGCGATAATCATCTCGACATATTAACCTTCAAATACGCGTCTATTATGAGATACAAACAAAAATGACATTGCTGAAGACATTTTACATCGTCTTCGCTAAGAATTGGAAATAGGTCAATTCCAATTGATACTTCCGGTGGTTTGATTTCAATTCCATCCGCCGTTTATCAATTTACGAAAGATGAACTCTTCACAAATGTTCGGACATTGTTCGGACAAATTATCGTAAATATGATTTCTGAAGTGCACGGGCAATTTTAGCTGCCAAAAATACCGATTTTGCTGACTTAAACTGGACGATTTAAAGTCAAAATGTTAGATTGCCTCCGCCATAAGTAGTAATAACAAATACCAATAAAGAAACCGTCCCTTTACTTGAACTTAAGAAATATATTTTACTATTTTACATCCTGAATAAGAATATTACTGGCGCCCGAACAGGGATTGCAATAAAAGATTCATGAAATAAAATCCTTAGTAAATCGGTCATGAAAAAACGAAAAACTTTGTCCTAACTAATACAATAAGCCTTCATAGAAAGGACACAAAGAAATATCTCTTCATAAAGGAATAACAAATTAAAGTTACCAGTAAATACAATTAAAGTGAATACCGCAGCAGACATAGCCGCTCTACAAGGAATCGTTACAGATTTACAAAGGAGAGTATGCATGCAAGAAATCGGACATCTGAATATACGACCTTCTACGCC